GAGATTATCACCGTACACTTCTACATTCTACGTACCAAGCAACATTAGCAGTATTCAATTAGTGTAACTGTTATGTTGATATGGTTTAGCATAACGCTACCATAGCTTAATAAAATTGAAGAATACCTAACAGAGAGTGTGATACTGTGTTGGTGAACTTAAGACTGAATAGTTTGTGATTGTACTTTTCTCACAATGACATGTAAGAACATTTCCACTTAGTTTGAACTGACCTTCTCATATGTATACATTTTCGTGGAATGAAAAAGAAGAAGAAACAAAATCCTGTTTTCCCTTTTGAAATGAAAACCTATGCAGTTTCCAAAGTAAACAAGAAGTAAATCTGAAGTTAGAGAAGTACTGAAAACTGTAAGAGAATGAATAAATAAATATCTCTGCTATTCTTTGCGCTAATTTACACTGTTGAATGAACATTAAACCGAAGGTTTCGCTTCTATAGATTATCTTAAGTGTCTGAATCTAGTAGTCCGTATTTTCTAACTTTAGTCCTTTAGAGATTTGTTGTTACCATAATTAATTTCACTAGGAAACATTCATTCTTGTTCCTGTTAGATTGAAATAGCTTGGAAATTTGCTAAATATACGAAGTCTTCTTCTCAACAATCTGTGATTAGGTCAAAATATTGTGTATGGGGACCAGTATGATACACAGTAAGAATTCATAATGTTGTTGCCTCTTCATCCGAGCAGTTCGGTAAAGTGTAATCTGCCTAACTAAGGTCTTAAAGATGCTAAACCTTAATGACTACAGACACTTCATGTCAGTAACCGAAATCGTTAACAACAGTGTGGATGTCCTCCCTCCATCGCTTTACGTTCCGAATGTAACATAGGGCTTCCAACTTCAAGCCTTGAACTTTCAGTAGAGGTGCAGATGTATTCCTTTTTTTTAGAAACATTCTCATCAACCTATGTTCATTTTGTCCTTGGTGTGACTTGCAGTTGCGTTTGTTAAAGTAAACTGACGCTTTTCCATCCAAACTCCGCAAACTCTTCTCCCCATCTGTCTGTCTCTCCAGCTGTCTATATGGCAATCTGTCTGTCAGTGTAAAAACATCATCTTATTTTTATTTTTACTATTCCCTTTGGTTTCAAGTGGAATATAAGGCTTCGACAGCACATCTCAGTTTCACCTTGTTCTCTGCAATCCTGTATAGCTGGCTCAACAATGTCCCATAAGCTCTCATTCCCTTCTCATCACACGATGTCCTCTATGCCTTCCTGAGACACAGGTCAGACTCGTCGTTTCCCATTTGGCTTCCACTCCAGCGATGGCCTGTCGCGCAATGTCACTAAACAGCCTTCTCAGTGTGTTTCCACTCCATCTCTATTTCTTTCTGCACGTTTGTTGGGCGATACGTTCTGGGTTTCCCTGTTCCCATATTTCCTTGTTTTTTTTCCTTCACGTTCCCCAGTGGAACATTGAGCTTCAAGCTAGTAGCTTGAAGTTTCTGTAGCAGTGTTTATTTTACAGGATGGAGTTGCTAGCCTTATGCCCAACCTTTCCTCTTCACCAGCATTATTTCTGACTTAGCGAGGTAAAGGAGTGCGTCGGCCGGGGATCGAACCCCGAACTATGTACATGGTCGACGAGCGTCCTAACCGCTATGCCACCGACGCACTATTTCCTTGTTGCTAGTCCTTTCTAACAGGTTTTCTAATCTTCAGTGTGGAGCCAGTGAAAACAGCTGTTGATTAAAGTCTGCAATAGGTTACTGGAAATGTATCATCTTAAGCAGGGTGAAATGAAACACTCAGTGAGTGAATTTCAAAAGGTTTTTTTCTTTTACTCTTAACTGAAAGCTTGGCATTGCTATCAAGACCAGTTCCATAATAACAGGTAAAAGAAGACATTCATGATGTTATTACTAAAATATTGCAATCTAGTGTGAAATAAAAACTTAGTGATCCTTAGTTACTTTTGTGGTGAGAGCTGTCTACTAGTCAAATTGGTAGACAGTAATTTACGTCAATATTTACGTTCCCAAGATTTGTCGTGAGAAAATGTGAACAAAGATTGATTTAAAATCGACCATAGCAGACTTTGCGTAGGTGGATGCAGTTAACATATAGAGGATTTGACATTCAAGAAACAGTCACAAATAGATGAAAGATTAACTTTACGTGAGAAACAACCAATCGGAAGACTGTGTTTGTTTGCTTAAATATCCATAGTAATGTACATGAAAATATATAAATATGCGTTGATTTCCTTAATAAATGATCTGTTGCCTGGCCCTTGTCTTCTGTTGTTAAACTATCACTTCATTGGGATGGACCATTTAGTTATTCGTTTGATTCTTTCTACAGAGGACAATAGCCAATAAGAATCTATTTATTCACCTTCGCTGTTCACCTACACAAGTATCAGGATGTAATTAATATCTGTGTCACTCACACTAGCTGGAAGATCTACAGACGAAAATCAGCAAGCTGGCAGAAGAGGCAGTGAAGACAGAACTTCAAGTGAACATAGAGAAAACAGAGATGATGAAGATATTTAACCAACAACAACAAACCCACCTCCAACAGACAAAATCTTTTAAGAAGTCACCTCTTTCACTTGCACAACCTGAAGAGCATAGTTTCGACTACAGACAACACGGATGATGACGTCAAAAGCACCCAGGATCGGAAAAGCATGACAAACCCTCATTACTCTGAATTGTGTGGAAATCTGCTGCACTCAGCATACGCAAAAATATTCGGATTTTTAACACTAATGTCAAGTCAGTGCTTCTATACATTTCAAAGATTTGCGAGGCATAAAATCATTTCCAACAGTTTACACACTTTCATCAGCAGCCACGTTCGTTCCATACTGTAAACCAGATAGCTAACAAGGAACAGCAAGCATCAAGGAACTGTAACCAATCAATCAAATCCTAACAAACCAATACTTGATTATCAGTGAGATGCTCACTGGCGACTGAACCTATTCAGGTAGGTAGTTACCTTGGTTTCTAGTGGGAAGTCGTGACCAGTAGGGTGCGGCAGGTCGGGTGTGAGGACAAATACTCGCCGAAGACATTGGCTAGCGGTCGCGCTATGTCGTTAATTGGAATTCATGAACTAGCCATTGGATAGGGTCTCAGTGGCTTAATGGTCTACAAGCTCGCTGGCCTTATAACCAGAAGGTCCTAAGTGTGTGCATACCACTGAAGAATTTCCAAACTAGGACGAAACAACTGGTTATCCAATACTCTCAGGTTTTCCAATGATTCTCTGACCGATGTCAGCTCATGATGAAATCCTGTAATCAAGGAACTCTGTATATCGCCCAAAAAAATTATGCAGAAAGAAATGCAAATGGACTGAACACACGCTTAGGAGACCGTTGAGTGAAGTCATTAGCCAGGCAAAGCATCGAGCGGAACTCAAACGAGAAAAGACGAGTTGGATGTGTGTCTGAGAGTTAAATGGAGATCATGTGAAGGATGAATGATGGCTTGTGGGCCATCGTCGAGCCAGCTAAAAAGGACTAAAGAGAACAGAATGAAGCGGATATGTGCTGTTCAAGCCCTATGTTCCACTTTGAGCTCAAAGGAGTAATAGTATAATAATAAACACCTGCGTTTCTCAACCCTATGGCTTACTAAAGGGTAACTGAATAAGTTCAAAGTAGATAATCAAAACTGTAAATCGGTGACCAATTTGTCGCACACCGTTCATTTCTGATTAACTGTCTAGTAAGCAAATGTGATGGTCACACGGCATAGTCTGAAGAGATCTTAATTTGATTAATACACAAATCTATAAATTACCATAAGCTGATAATCACTGAGACAGAAAGAATGCTGAACAAACTTTGCATTTTATTTAGATGTAGTACACCATTGAAACAAATTATATCAGTTCATTTTTTGTAACTAAGATGAAGACAAGTTGTCATTTGTGAATACCACACCCTGTCTTTCCTCCATCAATAGCATTTGGTTTATCCATGCATTACAATGTTCCTTGATTCGTTTTAGCCAGGATATAGGTACAACCACCAGTAGATCGAAAAGTCCTAAGCTAGACGAAACACTTATGAAATGCACCACAATTGCCAAAACCCAGTTATAATATTCCCTCGGAAAATCAGAAATAAGCTACAGGAGTGATTTAGCGTAATAAGCCATTGAAGTCTATAAAATCACTTTTCGGATCAACATAAATAAGACAACTAAATTAAACGCTTTCAAAATGCGCATGGGTAAAAACAGACTTAACATTTTGTGTTGGACTTTCCCTCAAACTACTGACTGTTTTAATATCGTGTAAAATACATACCATAAGATTCCTAAAGATATACCTTAACTTCATAACATTTGTGATTTAGCAATGATTATCACCCCTCTGAAATACCAAACAGTTAATTGAAATCAAAATAATTTATCATTGACACTTATTATTTCACTGGTAATCATTCACTAGATATAAAGTGGTCACTAGGCAGTAAACAGTGTACCTGACGTCAAATGGGTCATTAGTTTTTGCATACAACTTTAAAAATTCGCCCCATTTATCGAAGTTTGGGTAGTCTGATACCCAAAAGGTAGCTCATTTCTTGACGCATTAAAATACAAGTGATTGATGAGTAACATTTCACTCTCCTAATCAAATTCACACTGAGTTAACTTAGCTAAACAATCGGTTGAAAAGAAGCTTTGAACTGTATGGAGTTATTATCAAAGCATGACCACAAAACTTTGAGGAAACTGTTCGAAACCAATTCATCAATGTATCGTTGATGATAAGTTTAACAGTCTACTGCCTTTTGAATAGTATGCTTCACTACACTGTCTATCAAATCCCTGAGGAGAATTTGAAGATGCTTAATTATGAGTTGAATATGCGTAAGGGGATTTAAAAAAAGAGGTGTGTGAAACTCTTTGCTACTCAATAGTGAATGTACTGAATACAAATCTGATATTAGTAGTTAGCATCTCATATTTTAATCAAATACATGTTACTACTTAATTTATAATCAGTAATAAAACTTTAAAGAGAAAATTAGTTACAAGTGATTTACTGAACACAATATTTTGTTTTGTGAAGTACAGCAATATGTATTGTATGTAGAATTGAATTCAGAACAATTCAGTAGTGTAATATAGTCTAGATGAAATGATAAGCAGCAGTAGCAAATGATTTCAAAAGTATTGATTGAAATATATAAACTCTTTACTAATCATCCTGTCGAGAGTAGTATATTAACATTATCGATAATAATCCAATGACGATATTCTAACTATGCAAATAATTTAAGTAGTTTCTTTTTATTCCGACAGTTTTTATACAGCCTGCTGGATCCACATTCATATAGATAAGTAATTGTTCTCAGCGTTGAGGTTAACGTCTTCATCAAAATCAAATAATTGAACTAACTGTATCTGATCTCGGTTTAAGCATTCTATCCGTCTCATCAGAATGATAATGGCTCTCAGCCAAAGGATATTTGTTCTGATCAATCCAACTTGATAATTTTATAGATTGAGGCTTCTTAAAATTGTCAAATACAGTTTGATTTGTATTATTGCCATTATTATTTAAATGTTTACAATCAGTAATGTTCAATAATTCATTGATATTATGACATTTTGTTTTATCTAATTTACTTTGTTTATTTTCATCTCCACTATAATATTCTTCTATTTTTGATGTATTCAACTGACATTTCCACATCTGATTCAGTACACTGAGTAGACTGTTACTTTTCCACTTTTCCCAGTCTACAGCTGATGACGTTGACGAGGCGGAGGAAACAAAGGCGGGATTGTCAACTGTTTCGGTAGGCTTAAATAAATGTTTCTGACTACCCAACACATCAGTTGACATTCCATTTAGCAAAAATGAGTCTTTCAATAAATCACTGTAAGATTGTAATAACGGTAACTGATGATTATGGTGGTTAGACATTAATTGTTGTATTAGAGGATTTTTCGAGTTTTCATTGTTATCAATATTGGTATCATTTTGATTAAATGACATTAAATCAGAAATATTGTAATTCATTGATTGAGGAAGATTTAGACTGGTTGGTACTAGTTGTTTTTTTATATCACTCGTCAGTTTGTCACTAATCATTGAACATTGATTAGGAGAAAATGGCGGTGTTGTTGATCTTGAAGGGGATGATGGTTGCATTGACATAGGTGATAATGTGATCGGTTTGGATGTTGGTGGTAGAAAAGACTTCATTTCCTTATTTTTTGAATTATTCATATTATGATCCCATAAAATCTGATTAACACAGGCTGTAAAAGTATTTTCAAGGAATTTTTGACGCCAAAATAGTAGTAATTCATTTGAGTCAGGTAAATGAGCTTCGTTTTGTTCTTCTGAGTCTGAACTCTTTTGTACTGACTTATTTTCATTTTCAGTTAATCGCTCATTGAATAATTCACTTCCACTGTTTGAATACTTTTGATTTATACACTGAGATATGCGATGATTTAACGAAGTGGGTGTTTGAGGTAGATTAGGTGATGATATTGAAGACAATGTGTTGCTGGTCATCATTGTGGATGTCATCGATACTTTGCACGTGCTAGGATAGTTATTTTTTGATCTGTAATGATCAGTATGATGCTGGGAGACTTTTTGTGGTATATGTTGATAATGATGGTTTCTATTCAAGCCAACTACTTGAGTCGGTGGTAGAGGCGGTGCCGGTAAACCGAACATATGTGGTATACCTGTGACCATTGAAGCAGCTACGGCTTGCTGAGCCAACAAAGTTTCCATTGACTCTCTAAAATATTTTAAAAAAAGTGTACGAAAAAGTAAATTGATTAAAAATTAAATTTTTTAAAAGTAGTTTGAGAAAAGTAAGTTGCCTTAGATGTCTGTAACACTGCGTAACTTAAATTTATCGAGGTTTATGGTAGAAAAAGTAATGAGTACATAGAACTAGTTTTGATAAATAATCCAGTCATATAAAACTGTTTTCAAGGGAATCCCCTAGAGGAGATCGAATCCGCCTAATTCGCAGACACAGCTCCTTGAACAGTGTCCCGCTAGTATGAAATCCAGACCAAAAGATTCCTGGCAATCTGCTACAAGCACATAAATTCAGTTTATACTGTAACACGGGGACGAGTCACCTAACTGGATGATCACACTGTAAAGCTGACTCATAGAATCTAGTCACCACAAACACTAGGAACTAGACACATGACATCACCTATCCCATGGTGACCAATCAATAACTGTTTATTTTATGGAAATAAAACACTCAGACTCCTGGTTTCATTTTAGCGGTTGTATTCGCTTTAATTTTTAATTATAAGCCATTTGATTTTTACCAGGATCAGTTAAGTACCTGTTGAAAAGTATTTTACAGTATAGCATAGTATAGTATATCTTAAAACTCAAAGAATTTATAAAAGAGTTAGATGTTAAAGGAAATTTTCTAATTGTAGCGCATTAATTTTTACTTTCAAAAGATAGATATATAACTACACTTTCCAGTGTACATGAAATCTTTGATGAGGTTACTTGAGGCAGACTTATATTTACCCAATGAAGTGAATGTAATGGGTTGCTATTGAAGGTGGAATTTAAACCAAGTCGGCTAGTGATCCAAAAGCTACTGGTTCAAATCTTGCAGTGGTCAACGTTTTTACTCTACATCCAGCTACCACTCATTAAACATGGAGTCATCAGAAAGATGTACTCCTGACCAGCATATGGGCAGTTCACATAGACCTTGCCTTCTTGAAATTTGATTGTCTATATCTTTCAAAGAGCGATAGAAAGAAAATTCTTCAAGTTTATTTGCATTTTTAACAACAATCTAATTTTCGAAATATTACTTAAACTACTTGTAAGTAGTCTAAAACTTAAAACTTTATTTTCAGATCCTATATGAATAGGTGAAATCATTTACTATTAGGCAACTCGATAAAATTGTTTAACTAATTTCTATATCATTTTCAGCTGAAGACACAAAAAACCGTTGAGGAATCCGTCCAGTGGCGAAATTCTCACTGAAATCAGTCGAAGTCTGTACAACCCCTAAGAAGTCTAAATAAATAACGGAGTCGATCGATTACTGCTATGAAACGCTTAGGTTCAGTCAAATGCCTCTCCTTTTTAAGAATCCAGTTTTAAAACTCAGGATATTAAGATTACTGTTATCACTTATAGAGTTATCCTATGAAGATACATTCTCTTGTCTATGAATAATACTCATCTACAAAAGAATCATTTGGAAATTCATCTACAAAAGAATCTCCGTCGAATAAAAAAATCTCATAAACGGCAAATTTAGTCTTTCCCGCTTTATCGAAATTTATCAAGGGAACCATATGGATGAAATATTCATTTATCTGTTGGAAAATTGGTCTCACGGTAGGTTGAAGAAATTCTCGAAAGTAAGAAATATAAAATTTTTTCCCGTGTCAACTTGTCATTTAAAATGCAACTTTTCAAGTATTGGTTTGTAGGGATTTTATTGGTTGGTTACGGGATTTCATCATGAGCTGATATCGGTTAGAGAACCATTAAAAACCTGGGTTTACAAGGCAAGCTCTTGACCATTAGGCCACTGGGACCCAACCCAATGGCCCAGAAGATCCTGGATTCGAACCCCGGTGGATGAGTGCTACTGAAGAGTCCCGAACTGGGACGAAACAGCTATCCAGTACCACAGATTTTCCAGTGGTTCTCTAACCTATATCATCTCATGATGAAATCTTGTAATGTGCAATTTAGTGTACGAAATCCTTACACCACACATGTATTCAAATAAAACACGTTCCCATGTGTTCTGCCATAGTGCACCCACGTTGAATTCTGTATTTAGAAAATGCTCTTAATTTAGTATACAATTTTCCACTAAGGTGTCTTATTCCAGTTATTCTTTCTAGTCTTTCACATCAGTTACACTTCTCTGCCGAAAAGTCCGTTGAAATGAAACCAATCTTAAATGAATTTAGTGTTAACACACTTATTTCAAACACGATCACGGAATGATGTCAGTTAGAGAACCAATGAAAACCAGGGAGTACTGAACAACTGTTTTGTCCTGGCTTGGGACTCTTCGTCAGTGCTCACCCACGCACCCGACAAGGGATCAAACCCGGGAATCTCAGGTTACGTGACCTAAATTGTATAACATTTAACCTTTTGAACTAGAATCCAATGGCCCATGAATCCTATCAATCCCAATTCAAACTTGTAAAAACTGGGCGTGAGTAAAATTAGAGCGCCTATATAAAATACTCTCATCTATCTATCTAATAATGGAAATATTTTTACCATGGGAGATGAAAAACCTCGAAGTACAATATGGTAAAAATGAAATTGCTTTCTAACTAACATCAATCCATGATTAAACTTGAAGCATATCATTTCCCTACAAACTAACTCTTTAAAGTTAATACATTTGCTAACCTAAAAAGAAATTCAACTCATCATCTGCAGATTATACAGTTCAAGTTGAAAATTCATAACATGTTTCTTCATTCGAAAACCTAAATTTTTCAGAACACAATTTGTGAACTTAATCAGAAGGGGTTCTATATCTGTTCCTGACACCTGGAAAATTCTACATTCCTTAGTGATAAAGAAAAGAGAATAAATACAGACGTTGAAAAATGACGTCTGAAAGCTGTCGTAACTTTATTCGCTCTTCCATATGTCTAATAATAAAATAGCCAAGATATCACGCAGCTACCACTTGTTAATGAGAATACATCGGCTATTTATCCTCAGCTTTTAAGAAATACACTCAGATTAATCCTCAGAAATTTTGTTCTCCGAGTTATGATCTTACTGCATAATAATAATAATAATAATATAAGTTGAAATAGTAGAATAGACAGTAAATAATGTAAATAACTCGAGGCAAAACAAAAGGAGTAAAAGAGAAACCAGTTTCCCTATTAGCATCACTTTGAAAATATTTCTTACTTAAAGTTATTCTAAACCATATTTATGTTTGCACATTTATATTTGCCAGAAATCGAATGGTTTGAACTAATTCGGTCCTCTGACTAGAGACAAACAGTGTACACCAATGATGAGCTCAGAATGAAACGAGTGAAACGACCGTCAGGTGTTTAGATCACTTAGATGTGGTTACCATGCGCTGCAGTTTAATGTAAATGATATCCATCTACTCATCTCAATCAATCAGTAATATATATATTTTCGTGCAAATATTCTTGTTTTCTTAATTGTCACTTTTGGTATCAATCAGATCACATATTATGGTCTCAATAATTTCGGTTTCCCTAAGAAAACTTTGGTGAAATCTCACTTTGAACTGTGCAAATCGTAAATTACTTGGCAAATTAAGAATCTAATTCATATTTACATTGTAATCCAGTTTTCTGATTAACAATGCTTTAGCACAGACAGTGATTTAGAAGGATCCAGTTAAAATTCAGTGTAAGTGCGTCAGTGTTCACGAGTAGAATGCTCGCAGGTTATGCACATAGTCCAGGGTTCGATTCCTGGATGATGCATCCCTAAACCTCTCCTAGCCGATAGTAAACCCCAGATAAAGGGGAAGTTTGGCTATGGGACTAGTAACCTTACCCCGTATACACACCTCAAAAGCTACTGAGATTTTAAAGCTTGAAGACCTATGTTCCATTTAAAACGCGAAGGAACGGAAAAAACTTCGATGTGAATCGAAAAGAAACAGGAAACCGCTGAAAGCCATAGTTTATTGGTTAGCTGTTTCATCCCAGTTTTCGGCTGGCCAGCAGGACATCCGATGAGGAGTAGGGATATATGTACACACCAGTAACGATGAATGTTGACAGCACTGTATCGTCAGTCAACACAACGAGTACCTGGTTGATAAGTAGACGGTGCTGGATTTCACTTCCTATAGAATCATGAATATGTAAAATAAAGGAGAGGACCTCAAATTGAGACGAACTAGCTATTGAGTGGTATTCAATGTGCAATAGAAATTCTAGTTGATTTCAGTTTGTGAGGAAGTTTTATTTACACATCATCGAATCCTTTGCACACACCGTGAGAAATAATGTGCCACACTGTTTCCACCCTCGTACAATTTACACAAAAGGAGTCCTTGTCTTCAATTATTGAGGTAGCAGGATGGATTAAAAGTATACATATTTCATTCATATTCCATGTATCCATGTGCTTATTCTACATAATGATAAAGAGCTGCGTTTATAATTTTGTCTTTTACAGATAACCAACACTCTCATAGCACAATATACACTCTGCACACATAAACATTAATAAATCTGTTAAATTGTTTAGCAATATCAGGTATTCTACAACTAGTTATAGGCGCATACACACAGTCTCGTCCTCCACTTCCTCCTTCCATTAATGTTTCGTGTTCAAACATGCGTGGACAACTTTTCTCCCTCATATCTATACTACTTTATTAATAATATTATTATTATTATTATTTATTGAATTGTCCCCTTAATCTTCGCCTAATGTTTTAGGACTAACACTAACGACATTATTATCATTATTACTATTAGTGATGGGAATAATATCACGGAAATAATAATATTGCTACTGTAACGACCACTTTCCTTAATGACCAATACTATATCATTCTACACTTGTTTATCACTAATGTGTATACATCGAGAGGAATCATTAAACACTGATGACTTTCCACCAACTAACTTAGTAGGAAGTAGGATGTGTGCTTATGCGTGCACGTGTGTGTGCGTGTGTCATCCCACCGTGTCTACAGGTAGTAGGTGTACTTCAAATGACCAACGACTTTAATAATGTGCACGAAAT